AGGCGCACGGAACGCTGTTACCTTCCCACCGAAGTGGTACCTATTTATCTACTTGCAATTTCTTGCTTTCGAACTGCTAGGTTGGCAGGAGCTGGAACTAGAGACGGGAGCTCACTCCGTCATGCGGCACCCGGGTCTCGAACTGCTGAACTACCGACCTTATTATTATATAATATTATATATATATTATTATATTAGAATAACACAAAATACTATAATCAATTTGGAAAGCTGTCAAAAGATACCAGAGTTCAGTCAATGTGGGGACACCCCCCCCCCCCCAGTAGTTGCTTGTCATCTCATGAGGCTGCCTTATCCATTCGGTTGTCTACAATTGAACCGGGCAGTCTCGAGTTTAACTGTGCCCTCTACCTCTGTCTACTCCAGTGGGCAGCAGTTCTGCAAGGATCTTTTAAAAACAGGGAGTCACACCTAGGACTATCTGCATACAAAGAACACCCCCTTCTTCTGAGTGGGAATCCAAATGAACGTCAGTTGCCTAAAGCTGGAAGGACCTTTTCTGACTGTGAAGTCTACCTCCAGATCCAAACCAACCAAAGTGCTCAGCTCTGTCCTATGCATTGTTACTCAGAAATAAAACCCATTGAATTACATAGGATTTACTCCCCAGTAAGTGTTTTTAGGACTGCAGGCTTAGGAGGCATACACTACCTTGGAGCCAAGTATAAAAAGTCATTTGTATTAGAAGCAAATGCATTTGGCGTATCTCCCTCAGAATTCCCCTGTGTGTTGCAAAAACAGGACCTGTAACTTCAGACATATGAAAACAACAAAGGCTTGCAGTAAATGTGCTTTAATAGAAAAAGGCAATGCTATTCCATCCAACATTGTCATGATCACAATTGCTTTCTCTATCACTGCCTTTTAAAATACTCCTCATAATGTTGGCAACAAACGCTTTCAGTTCTAAAAAAAACTCTTTTGACAAAAAAAAAAAATTCAGTTTCGGCACTGTGCCTTGTTAAGAAGATGCAAGTCAGGTGTCTGTGGTCTTAAGCAGGATTTGAATTTCCACGGCACAAACAATGTACATACTGTCTTCTCTCCCAAGAAGAAAATATGGCAGATGCCATGAATCATCCTGATCAGTGTTCCCTCTAAGCTGAGTTAGTGTGAGCTAGCTCACAAATTTTCAGCCTCCGGCTCACACATTTTTTGTCTTAGCTCAGCAAGGATGGCTCCAGAGCAAGCTAATTTATTCAGTAGCCATATTGCTTGCTCATAACTTTAATGCCAGTAGCTCACAAAGTAGAATTTTTGCTCACAAGACCCCACAGCTTAGAGGGAACATTGATCCTGATCAACAGCAGGTAGGTGCTCAGTGCTATAATGGAACTGTTCCCAAGTTGTCGGCCTTCAAAAAACGTTTGCAGATTTGAAATCTGCATTTTTGCTCAAACAGACACTTATTTTTGGCCTCTATGCATCCCCAAGTAAAGCCTGTGACCCTCCTCACTGGCAATAGTCCCTTAATTCCATAATCCTAAATTTACTTGTTTGGACGCAAGTCTCAGTGAAATGGGACTTCCCTCCAAGTAAACATGTTAGGAGCAAGCTGCAATTCACACTCGTGATTATTTGCAAAGATGTGTGTGATATGTCTGAGTCTCCATGCTTTCTTTGCTGTGTCCTCTATCAGAAGCCAACTGCCAACATCCCTAATAAGGCCCCTATATTAAAAGATCATTGTTGTAGTTGCATGAATATTTTGAACATTGCCAAGCCATCTAACACTAATAAATGTTGCTATAACCACTCTAGGCACAACGCAGGTCAATGAGAACTGCGCAAGAAGAGACTGCAGCTGACATCCTGGAAAGTGAATGGCAAAACTGTCACTGATTTTCAGAGGCCAGGCATATGGCACGCTTTAAAAGCTGAATCATCTGCATGCAGTTTCATTCATTCTGCTGAGGTCCTACTGAGGAAAAGCAGCAAACAGGTTGGTATGACGATACAAATGATACAAGAATACCGGTTCTAACAAGACCTGAAGAAATTTTGCTACACACAGTCCTCTGACCCAGAGAAAACTTACAGACATTAAATAAAAATAGAAGAGGCCTCGTGGAACCCAAACTGTGGGTCAGGCTGTTGTCAAGGAAAAGAAGCACTCCTTTTGAAAATAATAAAATATACTTTGGGGGGAAATCTACATGCCCCTGATCCCTCACTTGGAAGGAAATCCTACCAAAATCAAACGGAATGATTTGCAGAAATGAGTGTTTAGAATCAGGTCATTACTGGAAATAAAATAAACAACCAAGCCTGCAGGAGGACGGCAAGACTCATTTTACAGTTCTTAAAAACTGAACTTAATTTGTTCGTTCTTGGACAAAAAGACAAAGCAAACATCACACATAAAGTACCATACAGAGTAACTGTACTATACAGAAGACAAAAAAGAATTACTCTTTATATACCAGTGAAAGGTTTTGCGGTCTCCCAGCATTGTTACGTCATGAGTACCCAGACTAAGCCAGTCACTCGGTAATATTTAACATATATACATGAAATATTAAGAATATATGTGCATAGGTTATGCTGAGGGAAAGGGTGTCAGTGCAATTATTTTGTAACTTACTCAAAGTTTATAAGCCCTAAAACATAAATGAATGTAAGCTCACCACTTAAAAGTGTTGCTCAGCAAGACACCAGTAAGCTGCAAGATATAATACTTCAGGCCAGTTCTCTTTTGTCACTTATCATCTAAAAATGATCTGAAGCCAAAAAAAAAAGTCCAAATAAACTGGGCTGCACATGGGTACAGCCATACCGGGTCTCATGGACAAGGTAGCCCGAAAAAATGCTTCCAAAATTGTGATTGTGTATAATGCCACTCCTTGTATAGTCCCAGTTTATGTGCAAATACATGACTAAGGACGGCTTTAAACTGTTTTCATGCAAGGTAGTAGTGCTGCTTCCACACTGCATTTTTTCAATTTACAGTTCTCTTAAATTTGGCACCTTTGCATAAACCATTATTCAATAGAAACGTATGAGACCAAAATCCCTCCACAGGCATTACATTCTGTTCCCAAGAAATGGGATCCTGCCAGCTGCCAGCTGAGCTCACCTCTGGATCCCTTTGGAAGCCACGGAAGTAACTTCTATCACACTGTGCTTATGGGGGCTATGAAATTATAGGCATTTACATCCAAGTAAATGCATTTAGGATTAACAGTGCAGTCAGTTTAAGTATAAGTAATCCACA